CCAGCTATTCTGGAATTCTGGGAGTTGAAGTCCACACGTCTTCAAGCTGCCAAGGTTGACAGACACTGTTCTAAAGACCCAACAAGCAGGCCATCGGAAGACCATTCAGAACAGCTGAACTGTAACTCTTAATATTTAAATCATTTCTATCTACCCCATTGAAGCGGCTTGGTGCTTTCCATCACTGCCAGAATACTTTGAAAAGTTCAGGTTTTCTTTCCATGTTTCTTTCCTCCATTTACCAGAACTCACATCTTCCCTGCCCCTGAAACTGGTAATAATCCCTCTATTTGCAAACACCTGTCTTTGAGGTACAGTGCCCCAGTACATGGAGGATTTATTAATTGCTCCTATTGCTATTAGCCAACTTGACATTGCCAGGTGGGCTGTCTGGGAATTCTTGGAGTTGCACCCAATGCAGCTGAGTGGAAACCAGCTAAGAATAACTGGGAAGCCCAGGGGTGTATGTGACCACATTAAAAGAACCTAAGAGGTATTATTAGGCCCTCTATCTTGCAGCAGTGAGTTTCATGAAGTAATTACGCTCTAGGGGGAAAAATGGACAGAAATCAAGAAGGACTTTTGCATTTTTATTTTGTTTTCTTAGCAGAGGAACGAGACACTAAAGGAGACCCATTGAAGGAACTCTTTGAAAGGTGCAGAAATGGCATATCACCAAATGAATGCAGAGTGCAAACTGCTGTTAAAAATGGGAACAAACTCAGGGGTAGTAACAATGAGTGTTGGATCAAAGCAGGGAAGAGAACAGCCTCTTATTTCAAAAGCAGGATGTCCAGTAGCCCTTCATTTGACCCACAGGGGTGGTGGGGAAGGCCTGGATGATCAAGTCTAGGGAGATACTGGTCAGGGCCGAGAATCCAGTCTACCTGATATCCAGACTTCCAGGAGGGAGGTGACCGGAAAATGCACCCCCAAAAAGGGGGCTTTCTTGGGGCTCGTCTGCCATGGCCTTTGCCTACAAGAAAAACCAAAGGAAAGATGCATTGGAGATCCACGTTCAAAGTCACACAAATGGTGGGGGCTCAGAGGCCAGGGTGGGGCACAACCTGCAAGGTCTTTGCACAGCCTTGTTTCCTGTGTTAGGAGGAAGTGGGAAAACAGGAAGGGAGCTTTTTGGGGCAAATATACTTAAATGCATAAAATAAAATACACAGCGATAGTTTATATTAAAAAGGAACCCAATTATGCTCAAATGCAGTTATTACAAATATCTAAAAGAGTAGCATATGCCCTTCTTTATTAATCTGTTATCTCAGTAACAAGACAATAGCCTTTTTTAGGTATCATAATTTTAGGTGGTGAGATGGATCAAAGTTAACAAACGTTTTTGGAGTCCACAGGCCACAGATTACTTTGCTGCCTACATACCATACATTATTGAATGAAAAACTAAATTTCAGGTTAGAAATTAGTGAAAATAAAATTGTCATTGTTCCCCATCCAAGTTCGGAGAACAGACCCCCAAGGGGGACCCTGGACTCCAGGTTAAGATTTAGATCAGCATTTCTCAACCGTGGCAGCTTTAAGATGTGTGGACTTCAACTCTAGTGGCAGTCTGAAGTTTTGCACCCCAGATCTGGTAGCTCTAGCTTAAGGGCCTAATTGCTGATTTCCTTTGCATCCTTTGCAAGGGGATTCAGATTCAGAAAAGCAGCAAGAAACAGGGATCTCCCCGCAAGGGCGCCTGGCATGAACGCCCAGGCTCTTGGGGATGCTACAGCGCTCTCTTTCTGCTGCATTATGTTGTTTCTGCTGCAAAGAAAGGACGCGGAACAACTGTGCCGAAAAGGGTTTTCCGCCGTTGATAATGGAAATGGAAATTCCTGGAGGTAAAAAAAAAAACAAACAAAAAAAACCTTGGGAGAAACGGGTTCCCTTGTAGCTACGTCATAAAGGGAGGGATTCCCTCCGAGGCAATCCCGGAAACTTATAAAGGGACCCGAGAATCGATGGTGGTGGTGGCGGCGGCAAAGGACTTTTTGGACCTCCCGAAAATGCTCCGGTGCTCCTTCCACCTTTTCGAAGACTCACCTTTCAGCCTCGCTGATGTAGGAGGCGGCTTTCCCTTTAAAACGTCCCACTCGACTGCATCCCCCGCCCTGGGCCAGAACGTTTTGCCAGCAAAGCAGCCAATCGGAAGCCGGACGATGCGCGTTAGTGGCTCGTCCGCGCGTCGAATTCTATTGTGACGATTACGGAAGGGCTGTGATTGACGAGGGCCTCGTCGAATCGCCGGGGCAGGTTAGCCAAAGCGACTCGATCTGGGCGGCCCTTAAGGAACGGCTTAAAGGGCCCAGAAGGACGCGAGTGTGACGTCTTGTTTCATGTAAAAATCCATTACGTTTCGAAAGCTGGGTCCGGAGGATGAGAAATTAATTGCATTAAGAATAACGCTATGTTCAAAACAATGGTGTGGAAATTCTTTCATTTCCTTTATCCCCCCTCCTTTGTACGGATTGACAGACATTTAAATTTCGTGATCCTGATTTGCATGAGTTGATTGTTAATTTTTAATTGAACTGATTTTTTCCATGACACGTGTTTGGCTTGCTTACCCTTTTGTACTGTAAACCAATTTGCCTATATTAAACGGGTTTAGAAATGCTATGTGTCATTTAATAGTAATAAGGATAATATTGCAACAACAGGTGGAAACGTCACCGCGTGGGCTGCTTTCCTTCATCAGAGAGAAACAGCAGTGGCAAAGTCTTCACCTGTTGAATGTCTGACTGTTACACCAGAAAAGCAGAGTTCTTTTAACGTGCTATCTAATGAAAGAAATCCCCCTATAATACATACTGATTGTGTTATAACCACACATGATTGCTGGAATCAGAGAGAATTTCTGAAAGCATAAATTAACTTCTGAGCTCCAAAATGACATGAAATTATGCCATAAGTATTCAAGATAACATATTGCATTCCCCCCCCCCCAGATTCCAAGGATTGTCTCTGATGTCAAAAGTGGGTGCCTAAGCTGAAATTGATTCAGGGTAACCTTTTTCTGTAAAGTATGATTGGCTTTTTTTGGCACAGGAGACTTGGTTTCTAGTAGACACCAAGTTGACTGACGTTTAATATCAGAACTCTCTCTTGAATGGCTGGCAACTTAATGCAAGATGAAGCTGTTTTATCTGCTCAGTTTCCACCTTTGAAATATGCAAGACTTTACTGGAAAGGGGTGGGGGGGGGAATCCCCTTTGGTAATTCTTTGCCTTGGGTGAATTTGCCACCTAGAGTTTCTTGGGTAGATGGGTGGCCATATAAATTGAATTAATTAATAAGTAAATAAAATAAACATAGGATGTAGGCAATCAGAACACTATCGTTTTGAATGGGTTCCCCTGTTTTGTTTTCCTGGGGTTGGAAAAATGAAGCACAGAATTAAGATAAAACAAAGTGTAGTACACCCCCACAGCATTTCAACCAATCTGATGGCCGTGACTGGGAGCAGGTGGAACTATTATTACAGAAACCTATATAAATTAGAGTTTGTGAGTGCTTGTGAGAAGTTGTGTGATTGTCTCTTACTGAAAGAAGCTAATATTAGCAGGGTGCTGTAAAGAAACAGCTTTTTCTCCCCGATATGCATTCTCTTGTGTCTGTAGGGTATGTGACTGATTTTCTTCTCATTTGAGGGGTGGAGAAGGGATGTTTGTTTGAGAAAGTGTTTGTCTTTTGCTTTAAAACATTAGAAAAACTCAGAGTGATCCTAAATGTGAAGTTTTTTTAAATTAGGAAGGCTGAGGAAATGGCCTTGGAGTGTGATTAAAAACTGGACATGAATGTTTGGAATTTGGAGAGAGGGGTGTATGGAATATAATCTCCTGAAAGATTAATCAAGTTATGCTTTGTTTAGAGAAACCTGAAACATAGAACTGCTGTTTGAACAGAGTTTTTTTTTTTTTAAGGTGGCACAAATGTGTGAACTATTTATAGAGTTGTGAAATATGTTCCCCAGCTGAACTGTGTTCTTCTAAGCCAGTGTCCTGGTTCACAGGACACCCAGCACCACAAACTGACTATAGGCTGAGTTTTCAAAGCCTTCAGGCTAAAATATCTTTGGCTACTTTGGGGTTCAGGGGGTCCGGTGAACACAGCTGTTGTCAATTCAGGGTTAAGTTTTGTAACAAAGTGGAACAGTGTGAAGTCTTTCCTCTTCTCTAAAGTATAAATTTTCCCATTTTTTGCTCTTCCTTAGTAGCCAACACAGGCTTGCTCCATAATCATTTAATTGGGGATTTCACCTCAACTGTGAGCACGGACATCTCCATCATGTAGCTCCTATGTAAGCTTGTTACCAAAAGATCCGTGTTAGAGAAATACTGCGAATGTATTGTAGTGTTCCCCAAACCCAGGAGTCTTGGAGGGCATTAGATAATGATTCCCATCATACCTAGCTTGTGGATAAGGGTTGATAATTTTTTTTCTTTAGTAATTTTTATTAAAGATTTTGATGACAAGTAAAAGCAAATACAAACTAAACTCAGAGATAGAAAGAGCAAAAAGTGCAAGGAAAGAAAAAGAAAAAGGTAAAAGAAAAATATTTAAGGAAGTGACTTATCTTCATCACAGGGGTAAACAAACTTAATGCTTCACCCCCTATAATGTTACAGATATCTCTTCTTCCCATATGCAAATCCATAAATCAACAGGGTTGACAGAAATTCTGATATAGCACCTATGGAACTCCAAATTTAAGATCCTGATTGAGAGGTGACAGGTTAATCTTTTAACCAATTCTACAAAGCTGCCTTGAGGATAAATGAAAAGGAGCTTTGTTGCTTTGAAATCTATGGGTGGAAAAGTAAAATCAGAATAAATACATCATTGATGCATATGCAGCTCTCACTTATAGAAACCTCGAGACCACTTTTTTCTCTTGTCAGGAAGAAAATATAGCACATGATTGTCATTTAACTAGTTTACTGTGTAAAATTAGCTTTCAGATCATGCAGATTATGGTAACTCTTTTATTCTTTCTTTGAGCTGACTAAATCTAGAAGCTATGAAGTAAATACTGTACTCACATTGCAGAAAAAAATCCGCAGAACTAATCCCAAACAATATTTATTTTCTTTGTGAACCAGAAAAAGAAACTTTTCCTTTTGTTACTATGTTATGCATGTTCACTGGACAATAAGCCTTACTTCCATGGGGAGCAGGACTGAGAGGTTATGCAAAAGATATCTGAATTGCCAGCATTAAGGTGACCTGGGTGATCTTGAAAAACTAAGGAAGGTTTTTACCTGGATGGGAAATCACTAGAAAATCCCAGGGCTGTAGGCTAATACTGGAAAATCAAAAACAGAAAATATCCATAAAGAAGGTAAACTATTTCCATTTGTTTCTAAGAAAATGCAGTTGGGTCCATGAGGACATGGTTTGGCTTGTACGTCAATCCTAGAACACCAAGATGTTTGGCTGTTTTGTAATGTTTTTTCTTTCCCCCTGATTCCCAGGATAGACGTGTATGTGCATTTTGGTGAATAGAGAATTTGCAGTCTTGCACATTTTTTAAAGTTGGCTTTATTAAGGCACTCTTTGAGTTGATAGAACAGTCAAAATGGTCCCCAGCTATTATTTGTATGGATGTTATGGATTTTTCAAGATGGTGACCCCCAGATCCTGAAACATCTGGCAGGCAAGCCGTTTGGTCAAAGATGCTCTAACAACACCTCTTGATTTCAAAACTGTTGCCTCTTCTTCAATAGCCTTGAATATTCAAAGATGACTGCCTTTCTATTCCATCTGAAACATATTCCAAGGCCTACAGTAGTTTACTGGTTCAGCTTATCCTCTGTCTCCCATTCTGAAATCTGTGTTTCCAGTTTCAGGTTTCTCTTTTTGCCAGAGAAGATCACACAAAAATGATGGTATCTCCATTTCTTAATTTCTTCTCTGGTGTTGCAGGATATGGTTCCACCTCATCTTTTCTCTGTAGCCCCATTCTTCTCTCCATCTCATGAATTTAAAAAAGTGACTTAATTTTTTGCCTTTGTTTCTCCAATAGTATCATCCTATTCTATACATTTGTGAGCCAGGAGGTCGTGTCTATACCTTTCCCCACAGGTAAGCATTGGTTTTGGAGGGGTGGTGAAGAACACTTCTGGTTTTCCGTTTTAATACAAATTGATCCAATTCGCTCTTCTCAATCTTCTGCACCAGCCTTCTGCAAATCAGTGATGGGCTATTACTTCACTTTTCTAAATTTGGCAGTGCTGCCTTCAGCTGCAAAAAATGTGTGTGGAAATGGCTAGGATAGGGGAAATCACTCGCAAAAATATAAGTAAAATGCAAGAAGTGGCCATTGAATTTCTGTGCAGACTGAAAGTAATAAAATAGCAAAGTGATGTGCTAATAACTTAGACCAAAAAAACAAAACAAAACAAAAATGAGCTGGGGGCAGGAGAATGAGAAATCAAATTTTGCAGGGCTGCCTGTGACTTTGGCTCACAGCACAAGCTAACCTGAAACCTAACGAACCCTATTATGGTTTAACGCAATATGTGAAGCCAATCTCAAGAATTTGCAGGGGCAAACAGGATAGCTGAGTTTAAGGAGACAATAGGAAAATGCTTTTCTGTTAGCTGCAAAGGGTGGGAGAGTCTTGTTAACTTTATTAGAAAAATTATTCCCTTTCTCGAAAGGGGCTGTGCGGACTGAATGTCGGGACCGCTACTTTTGGGTATGGCTGGACAAGTCTGCATTGGGAGAAAGCTCATGGAGTTACAGTGTCTTGAGTAAGTAAACAGGCTGGTAAGGATTCACGTCCGCTAGAGTTTAGGTAGGGCTGACTAGTTTCTCAGTGGCAGAAATATTTAGCACATGCTCAAAGGGGGAGATGGGTGGTATATAAATTTAATAACTAAATAAAATGCACGCTTGTTCCTGAGTTGAACTCAACTAAAATAAACTCTGGGTTGTCTCATTATGGTCCTAAAATCTCAGTGTAGCCTCAAATGCTAGTTTGCCTTTAGGCACCTCCTTTGATACCTACCATGTACCATACTCCATCCTACCGTATTTTATTTTTTATTTTTTTAATTTTTAGTTTTTATGTTTGAAAGGAAGATCATAGGATGTAAAACACCTCCTATTAGCATAACCTTTATTTCCTGAAAATACATTTTGGCCCTAGAAATACCCCAGAGCAGTGCTTCT